TTACGTAAGAGTTTGTTGATGTCTTCATCTCTGTTGCCATAGTCACCACCATCATTGTAGTGGTTCAACTTCTTACGCCACCCTCCATTAGGGTTGCTCAGTTTAAACGGCCAGAGGAAGTTGGAAACTTCACGGAATCTTGGACCACAGGTGCAGATCTCGTGGATCAAATCTTCCATACACATAATATTGTATTTACCTGCAAGAAAGGAGAAAATGAATTGAGTTTTACACCCTGATCTCATTTTTTGAAAGAAGGGATTTCTTTTACAAGGATAACAACTTAGGTTCACAAAGATCCTTTCTACCAGCTGGTCCTTGTCAAACCTCTTGGCATTGATCTTTCCTAGATTATCTGTACCCATTTACAGCTGGGTTGACTAGAATAATGAGGATCCTTTCTACCAGCTGGTTCTTGTCAAACCTCTTGGTATTGATCTTTCCCAGATTATCTGTACCCATTTACAGCTGGCTTGACTGGAATAATGAGGATCCTTTCTACCAGCTGGTCCTTGACCAAACCTCTTGGTATTGATCTTTCCTAGATTATCTGTACCCATTTACAGCTGGGTTGACTGGAATAATGAGGAAAGATGACTTATCTAAGTCAACTGGTCTTTCGTTGACATTTAAGGGAGTAACACTCTACCGGACTGAGCTACAGCCCTCCCTACAATGTATGGAAGACTAGGTCGATGTATGTGATGTATGAACAGTGGACAATGGGGTAACAACAAAGGATAATCTTACCTAAAACATTCTCTATAAGGGCATTATCTGTTAAAGGTATTCTAGAGCCCTTTATTTTAGCATAACCTCTCTTATATATCAAATCTCGTACTGTCTTTAAATTGGGGGTTCTGAAATTAGAGAAAAATAATTTGAAATGAGTCTTGGCCAGGGAAACACCATGCAGTTTGCAATGAGGGAAATTTGGCAATCACAGTAGCATTTAAATTTCCATTTCATTGGGCTAATGAAGACGAGCAATGCCATGCAGTGTGCAATGAGGGTAATTTTGCCAGGACAGCAGCATTGGCCTGCTCTTTTTCGATTTCCAACTGTCGAGGGATCTTTAATGTGCACAGCCTGTAACACACAGGGCCTCGGTTTTTTGTCCCATCTGAAACTAGACACTTTTTCTATGTCAGCCTCTCTTACCTGTATCACTGACAGAGGGAAACCAGGTTGAAAAAATCTGAAGGTATTATCTCGACCTATGACAGGATTGAACCCTGGGCCCTCGGGTCAGTGAGCAAGCGTCTAACTCACTGAGCCACTGCGGCTCCCCATTAAAAACAACTTCAAAATAATACCTACCCCCATGTGATGTAAGGTTCAGCTAGTTTCAACATGTTGGCCGTTGCTTTATTCATTCTTAAAAAGATACCATTGTTAATCTGTCTTAATCGTAACAACTGCATGATCTTTCGGGGGCGTGGGTGAATATTGTTGATTCTGAAATAAAAGATATACATTTTCCATGATCCAAATGAATTGAAATGATTGAGTTTTACGTCCTACCTTTCTGTACCATGTGGGTTAATGAAGACAGGCAACGTCATGCAGTGGGCAATGAGGAAATTTGCCAGGACAGCTGAATTCGCCTACTCTTGTTAGATTTCCAACTGTCGAGGGATCTTTAACGTGCCCAGCCTGTAGCACACGGGGCCTGTTTATTGTCCCATCCGAACGCCTTGACGCTTTTTCAACCTGCATCACTGACAAAGGGTTGAAAAAACCCAGGGTATTCGTGGATCCAAGGAAGGTTATTTTCATACAAGATATTAAGGGACAGGTTCGACATTTTCAAGGGTTGGTTAGGGTGTTGAATGTTTAAATGTGTACAATGAGGAAAAAAATGTTCCAATAAAAGAATAACTCCATATCTATCTAGATTAATGGAGTTGTTTATAAGAAATTGGTTGATTTGTATCTAGCAAGCAGTTTAATAGAGATATGACATTAATATCAATATCTGAGTGCAGCTTGCAGAATCAAAATAAACTTAACACTTTGGTTGGGACTCAGGGAAATCCAATATCTCATTCTAATGTTGCGAACATGGTCGGAGACCGATAATCACGTGCGGATCATGCAATTGAAGGGAAAATGAATCTGATTGGATGATGACAGTCTGTCTAACAGACGATAAAACTATCAGAGGGGGATCATCAGAGTCGTTTG